ATAATTAAACTCCACTGGAGAATTTCTGATGTGCCCCATACACATATGTTTACATAATAGCTGGGTTTCAATTGTGATAGTCATTCTCTATATCATGGCCATTCTGGCCAGAATTAAACCCTCTGACTACTATGATGCCCTGTATATGCCCTGTACATACATATAACCTACATACAACACATACAGTGAGCATGAATACATAGATACTGTAGTGGGCAATGACTACTATCACTTATTCTTTATATTTGTGTGCACCCAATGTGCTTCTATAAGTTACATATTAGCAGGTGGGGAGGACTCTACTCTTGAGGAACAAAAACTGTGCTATGGGTCCACCCCACACAATAGATGAACCACTGTCACCTTGGAAAAGCTGTGTCTCATTAAGGTGAAGCACATACCTCTGGCCTTTTGTGCACCTAAAGATCATTCTATTATGGACAGGTGATTGTCCCAGGCATGCATTTAACCTGCACATAGACTAGCCAAGGTAAGTAAAATCTTTATTTATATTTATATAACATTTGCAGTCAAAAATCCCTACCTTGATTTGTGCACAGAAGAGGATAATGAGGAGGAGGAGGAAGAGGAGGATGATGATGACAAGAGTCCCTCTAAATCAAGGGATGTTACATGCTTGCCAGGATCCTCATCAGCCACTAGGTTTGCTATGGTTATCAATGATCTTGCCAATAGAATTGAAGATACATGGTGCAACTGTCATATCCCACAATCCAGACCCCACTTCATATCCAACTCATTCCCAGATCCCCATCTGCTATGTGCTCCACACCTCAGCAGGATCAACTCTGCTCTGGATTTACCCCTAAGCTCTGGACCATCAGATCTCCACTGCTAGCCTGATCCATACCCCCCTGTCCCATCCACCCTATGCACACTCCATCCAGCAAGACATCTGGACTTCACCTCATCTTGGATTCCAGACCATATCCACCTCCTCATATCCTGGTCCTGTATCCACCTCATCTTCCAGATCCCCAGATCTCCGGACCTCCAGATATTAACTCCAGACCTATTTCCACCTTCTGTCTGACATCCTGTGCCTATCCCCATTTAGACATCTCTGCCTTTCCAGCTTTCAGTTACAGTGGCTCAAAAAACTGTCCACATGTTTCGATATTTTTCACTATCTATGATATTGTGTGAGAACTCACAAATGCCTCAAGGACATGCTTATACCACATTGTAATATGGCTTCAGGGCTTTCATCTGAGTGCTACACCGTGGGAATTGGTGGAGATATGGTGGAGACATAAGGCTTATAAAATGATGACTCATGTGGACAGTTTTTTGAGTGTATATTAAAGCTATATAAATCATTATTTATGATACCACAAAAATCATGCCACTATTATATAAATTATGAAGTGGTGTCATTATGTTATTTTATGACTATATCTAACTACATAAACCAGAATATCTCATGTATCATAGTCATAATCACCATGAAAGCCATCTCCTCTGCTCAAAGAGATAATATCCTCTCTCTGTCTTATGCTGGCCTCTCTGCTTGCCAAATTTCCTCTAGAACTGGAGTATGCAAGTCCACTGTGGCCAAATTTATCAAAGAAAGCCACCCAGACAAGGAAAACTCTTGTGGAGGATGTCCATCCAAGCTTACCTCTACTAACAAAAGGGCTATTATCCAACATATCACTACAGGAAAGGCTGATAATGCTGTCCAAGCCACCCATTATATCAATTCCACCATCACTACCCCTGTCTCTTCACAAACTGTGAGAAATGTTCTCAAGGCAGCTCATCTCAAGGCAGTAACAAAGAAGAAAAAGCCTCTTCTCTCCATCAAACATAGGCAGAGAAGACTAGCCTTTGCCTTAGCTCATCAACACTGGACTGTAGAGGACTGGAAGCATGTTATATGGTCAGATGAGACCAAAATCAATAGGATTGGGTCAGATGGGAAGGTATATGTATGGAAAAAAAAAGAAGAGAGATGGCCTAACAGACAGAGAGGTTAATGGGACTGTCAAGTTTGGAGGAGGTTCTTTAATGGTATGGGGCTGTATGGGATGGAATGGTGTGGGAATGCTTGCTGAGGTTGAGGGGAAGATGAATGCTGAGCAGTATGTGGACATTTTAAATGACCACTTGCTGCCTAGCTTGGCAGAATCAGGGATTGATGAAGAAGATATCATTTTCCAACAGGATAATAATCCCAAGCACACATCCAGAAGAGCTAAGGAATGGTTTGAAGAACATAACATCAATGTTCTTGACTGGCCAGCACAGTCTCCTGATGTCAATGTCATTGAACATCTCTGGGGAACACTCAAGAAAAAGCTTCAAGCCTATGAAAACCCCCCTAAAGGAGTATGGGAGCTTTGGGAGAGAGTAGCAGTGGAATGGGGGAAGATCACAGCTGAGGATTGCCAGAAATTAATTGAGAGTATGCCTAGAAGGATAGAGGCAGTAATTAAAGCCAAGGGAGGTCATACAAAATACTAGAATACCTGGTTATTATTGTAAAATACTTGAGTCAAAAAACTGTCTGCGTGAGTCACCATTTTGTGAGCCTTGTATCTCCACCATATCTCCACCGATTCCCACGGTGTATGGCTCAAATGAAAGCCCTGAAGCCATACTACAATGTGGTATAACCATGTCCTAAACGCATTTGTTCATTCTCACACAATATCATAGATAGTGAAAAATGTCAAAACATGCAGACAGTTTTTTGAGCCACTGTACCAATACATTGGCCCTTATGTCTATGGACTGTCTTCTGAGGTATTGCTGGATTCTGAGTCAACAGGGTGCTTGGCTGTGTTGACTTTGATCGACATGGACAGGATCTGAGTCTGAATGTCATTGATGACTTGGATCAAAACTAGTGCAACAGCATTGCTCATATGTTCATATAGTATATCAATACCTTGGCCCATACATCTAAATGATATGTATCTGGGCCCACCCATCTATATGACATCCCCCTACATTGGCCCACCTGTGTATGTCATATACCCCCACATTGGCCCACCTGTCTATATAATACATATTTTACCACACCCTTGGCCCACACATCTATCCAATATACCCCACATTGGCCCACCCGTCTATGTAAAATACCCCAGGTCAGCCCACCCCTATATATAATAAATATTTCACCACTCCCTTGGCCCACCTGTTTATATAATAATATCTGCCTTACATCTCTCTTCAGCCTAGCTGTCTATAATATATGTCTATCCTACTCTACATATTACCCAGATGGGCCTGCCCATCTCCATTGGTAATAATATTTCTCCTGGCCCATCCACCATTGTCAAGCATATTTATAACATTGGCATAGATGTGCCCTGTTATGATATGCCCTGCCCTGCTGTACTTTTCTTTTTCTCATCATGTATTGTTTCCATCTGACTCATCTTACATTTACTGTATTATGTTGTGTGCCACTACTGCCACCATTAGATGCTGTCTATGTGCCCTGCCTATGTGTACATTTCCTTTCTTGTATCTCTGACTTTGTTGCTTCATCCATATTAGGCATATGCTCGTATTCTTACTTACTTGCACCTGCCCTAAACCCTTCCTAGCTATTCCCTATAAATACATGACTCTACACTGTGTAGTTCTCTACTTTAATCTTACTAGGTTTTACCTGGAACTTCCTTCACTTAGGCCCACTAATCCTAAGTCATCTGAATCATACTTTAAGTCAGAGGCACTCCCTCTGTCTTAGCTTACCTTGAATGTTTGGCTTATCACCTTACATAGATTCTCAACAGAGGTCTTGACTCTTATCAAGTCATCTGTCATTAGAACTATCCTAGTTCGTAACAGGCCCACTCATCCCCATCAAAAATAATATTCCTCCCTGCCCACCTATTAACATTGAGGATATACATAACATTGGCCTATAGTCTGCTGGCCTGTATAATATGGAGTTTGTCACTGAAGGGGCTTGATTGCATACCATCCATTTTCTGGCCTGCCACCCTGCTATCAATAAACTCAGTATCATTCTGCAACCTTGTGGTTTCTGGAGAACTAATCAGATCACTGCTCATTTGATGCTCTCTATATCTACACTAGATGGATCTTCATCCCATATCCTTCCAGTCCTTCTGAGTCTCCATAAACTGCCCACCCTCACTTGCCTTGCACTTTCATTGCAAGCTCATGATACATTGCCTGACTATATGAGCACTATTTCACAATGCATTGACTGTTGTGACAGTGTCAGATATCTTTTCATTTCTCTACCTCCACAGATTCATTCCCATTCAGCAATGATTTTGCCAAGCACCCATTCAGCAGTGCAGGTCAAACACTTGGCAATTGACTCTTCAGACATTGCAGGATCATCTGCCCCTTTTGCAGGAGATGCACTGGTATGTGTTTGTTTGAGCACTGTTTCAATACTCATTGTGGCTACAGGCATTATCAGCACTGTGGATACAAGCCTTTCCTGAAGTCAAATGTGTTAGTATGTGAGGTTACTCTGCTGTTACTGCCAGAGATCTTGTTGATGTTGTGTGCAAAATTGTTGCTGCTGATGTTGAACTATCTGTGATATTGCAGAGTTGAGCAGGTGCTGAGTGTTAAATTCTGTACTGTACTTTATATGTCAAAAAATTCTTTCTTATAGCTTCATTTGATGGACTAGATTTTCCTTTACTGCTATTCACAAAAGGCCATTTGTTACAATATTTTGGCGTGTGAACTACTTCAGAATGATAAGTACCAAGTCCACTTGTCACTATGGTTGCCCCTCAATGATAAACTAATTTTAGAGTCCCTCTGGCATTTGCCTATCAGAGCTTTCCAATTTCAGGAACATCCAACAAATGAGTCATTCACTATATAAGTTAGAAATTAATGACTAGCTTTTTCTCTCTTTCCCTCATTGGACTTACAGACATACATCATATTACCTGTTACCTCACACCAAACCTCATACCTATACTGATTCTGATACCACTGTACATAGTTGGATTATTGTATTTAAAAATACCATGCTCCTTGCACCTGATATTGTAGAGGTGTTTTCTGGCAGGACCAATACCCCTGCTGTGCCATCAATTGTACCTCTGCCTACTCCTGTGGCTTCCCCTCCCTCTATTGTTGACACCCCTATCAAATTAGGTAGTTCCACGATGTTGGTATACACAACTCATACATGATTCCAACTCATAACTCTTACTGCCATGGGCCACAGAATGAAAGATAAAGTTGTTGGCCCAATGCCAGTTGAGGAATTCCTGCCATCTTCACAGATACCAAATTATGATGCTTTGAGCTTCACTTTGGCCTTCATGCCTCACATGTTCAGTGATATGCTCTCTGCTGTTGTTGAGGAGAATGCTTATAGACCATTCATGAGTATCCCTGCATATGTGACATTGAGATTCTTGACAGTCCAAATATAGATTAACACCACAAAGTCTTTCACTCCTCAATTATCATTTATCAACTCTCACAATTACACAGACACAACCAATTGTTTATCATTCACATTTAGCATTAAGCCAGATGTCTGTGTATATGCCAATCCAACATCACATGGCACCAATATTTCCACAGCAGAAATAATCATTGAATTCAAGTGGGATATTGCCACAACATATTCCTTGAAGTCAGTGATAGCATCATATCTTCCACCAATAATGGCATGGACACTTTAGGACAAATCATGAGCTATGCTGTGGCTCAGCTTGGTGCCCAATACCATTCCCATGCTTTTTCTGTCCTGATCATGCATGATCATGCTTGCATCATATGACGGGATAGGGAGGGTACTATTATTACTAGCACCATTAAGTACGATACTGAGCTATTTAGCTGACTTCTTCTACCACTATATGCAAGCACTGCCTAAACTGCATGGCATTGATACTTCCATATCTCCTGCTAGTGCCAAGGAGGCTGCTCTTGCAAGGTTGTGGTTAAACCTTCCAGATACCAAGCACTTGTTCAGAGTTTCCATTCCCATTGTTAATGGCTCTGGTATGTTGACACTGATCATTCCCTAACTTGTTGCACCTGGTTTTGTACCTGTTGCCTGTGGGATGTGCATGTGTCCTGCATTTGACCTTTTCAATAAGAAGGTCATAATGTTCAAGGACTCTTGGCATGTATCATTACCAGATGTCCTCCCAGAAGGTGAGACTTATAAATTGTTAAAGTCACACAACATTCACAATATTGCAACATGTCTCACATGCCATGATGTACCCTCCCCTCCCTCCCTCAGCAACTCAGCCAGACTGTCAAATTTTCAAGTGCTGCATGGGCACGTCCCGACATGGCTGTCACTCCTCACATTCTTCATCACCTGGCTCTCAATATCATGGGCTGGAAGTTGACTAAGTTTGAGAGTTCTCATAAACTTGTCCAGTCCATTCATGACACACTGATTGGTATGTATTTTGGATTCTCAAAGCTACATCTTATTTATGTTTATGTTCACAGCTCACAAAGATGTATATGAACTTGCATAGGTGTTACATCAAGACCTCAGTGTGAGAAACATCACCATACACAGGAATATTAGCATCCTCATTGATTGGGACCTAGCAAAGCTAACTACCATCCAGGGTTCTCAACAAATGAACCATACAGTATGTCCACTACATTCCTAAGCTGCATATTTTGTGATTTTTTTTCTGTCACCAAGGGAACCTGGAAATTTATGTCTGCCTACCTCGTCTCACATTCACATGCCATTCATCATGTTGAGGACAACCTTGAATCCAGTCTTTACATCCTTCTGTGAACAGCTTTAAAATACACCATCACTTACATGAATATTGAGGACTGCACACAACTCGTGACACAGGTCTTCAATGAAGGATCCTTGAAAGAGGGTTGGCTCCTGATAAGAACTCACCTTCCACATGATGTGTTTGTCAGTCACAAATCACTTAACAATCTGGTCATTGAACTCTACATGTTCTTCTTGCATTGGTACACTAAGATCCCAGATGAAGAGAAGGTTTCACTTGCACACAGAAGGGCCACTGTATATGGCTGTATGGTATTTCATGGAAAAATCTCTGGCCAACAAGAATGAGATGGAGATGAAGCTCCTTGCCTTACACAACTCCATTATCAGCATTTACAACAAGTATCTTCAAATACCTGGCTGGCCTAAAGACCCTGCTATGGAACAAGCAGTACTTCAGAACAAACTAGGTGTTTGCATGATCACAAAGTCAATACTGACTTCATGGTGTGATAGTTAAGTTTTCCTTGGGCTTAGATATACTTACTTTCATTACCTTCTCTTATCCCCACTTTCATTAGTTTATGTTTGCACTTTTGTAGCTTATATAAGCATTATATCTTACCTTTACTCTTTACCTGTAGTTTGAGACTACTCATTTTATGATTATTTCCTCTACTCTCTGAGCTCTGAGTCTAGTATAGAAACTCTTGTGAGTCAAATAGCAGCTAGGCATAGCACTTTAGACCCAACATATTGGCTAGGTACTTTACCAAGTATCTAGCCAAGTTGTGTTACTCATAACAGGTAGAAGTCACCCTGACTGGCAAGAGACATAGGCTAGATGACATTGTGTCTGAAGATGTCAATGTGTCAGAAGATGTCAATGAATCACTTGATAGTGATGGAAGGCCCTCAGTGACTAGCCTGGATGAACTCTCATCCCTGAGCTCTGATTTTAATCTTTGACACCTGCATATGCCAGATTACCCTTCTCAATTTTGCATTTCCACTTAGTATTTACAATACCCTCACACATGTTCTTTAGTACTGTCATACAATGAATCATCTTGATGCATGAAATGTGATTCTAGTCTTACTGACTGCCTTGACTGCCTTGTTTACTTCAACCACTCACCACTTGCCAGCAGCATCCTAGTTGTATGGACACCCATGTTCTTGCTCCTTTCCTTTTTCAACATTTTATTTTGTGAGATAACTACTACTACTGGCTCAATTCAGTTTGCACATAGCACACTGTGGCAGCTGAGCCTGAAATTGTGGCAGAGTTTGATTATGGTAGTCATTCACCACATAGGTGTTCCTTCCACTTAATTTGGCTCTCTTTATCTTTTTTCCTGACTATTTGTTAGTTATAATTTGTTACAGTTGTATATTTTGTTTCATAATAGATAGTAGTTGGTATATAGATTTACAAAGACTCAATTAATGACAAATAATGTAGTTAGCATGGGGAAAAACTCCAAGAGAAGACCTGAGCTTGTGTGCTTGGGCCCAAGGCTTTATTGTCCACTATAATAGAATAGTCATAAGGATGTCCTAAATATTGTAATTTATACCCATTCAGCAATGCTTCAGACTCAACTATGTTATTCTAGGTCCAAATCACTCACAGGTGGGCACCACACTAGCAGGCACTGAGCAGCATAGATTGTGAAATGGAGATCTCCTACAAGAGTCTCCAGGGCAATTGAACATTGTATTTTAGTAAATACACCCAGTACCTTCTGATTCTATAATTCTCACTCTTTTTTTTACAGTACATAACCCTTCATCAACACATTTTCTATCTTATTGAGAGGTAAGATCAGCAATGGTTTCAAACTTGATCATCATCTAATGTTCATTTAGATGCTTAGCTAAACTTTTCTCTGCAAATGTACACAATGTTATGATGTTGGAGTGGATGGTGTGCCTAGAAATGCTGGTGGCAAAGACTTGCCCATCACCATAAAGCATGTACATCTAGTGCATGCGGTCAACATGACAATCTCATCTGAACATGCAAGTTCTATACTTTATCTCACCCATCAAACCTTTCTCCAGCCCTGCCTAGATCATGAAACATTGTCCCCTCAATATTTCCAAGGTGAGCACCCAATGCATCAGTCTGAGATGTTGATGCTGGTGGACAATCTTGCTACTGGACTATTTGCTATGACCTTAACCAATAACAAAGCCAATTTAGATGGTCACCACAAATTGTGGGTTTTGTGTTTGAAAGTCCAATGAGGCAAGGAAAATGCTCACCTGGATGCTGAACTCACTGTTAATGACACAAGAGTCTGATACATATATCACATGCTTCAGATGTGCTAACTCCATTCCAAAGACATATCACCTGTGCTCTTCAGGCTGAAGAAACTTTGAATGTAATGGAGTCACAGATGGAAAGGATTCACATCCAGCTTTCCCATGCAACATCTCATGATGTATTGCACTGTGACAGTCAAGTTTTCCTTGGGCTTAGATTTACTTACTTTACTTACCTTTGCCTACCCCACTTTCATTAGTTTAAGTTCGCATTTTTGTTGCTTACTTAAGCATGTCTCTCTTTCACTAGTGTCAGTACCAGTCTGAATGACAGTCCTTTTTGATGATAATTTCTACTCTTTGAGCTATGAGCCAAGTCAGAATCCCATGGGCTGAACATACTGCTCTCCACTCAGCAGCTTGGCCAGCTGTCTGTGATGATCAGAGCCCTTGCAAAAGTGAAGAGCAAGGTCTCCTCCACTGTCTCTTGCAGGACTCAACTAGAGATGTTGTGTGATGAAATGCAAACCCCCCCCCCCCAGCAAGGAGGATGGGTTTCCCATGTCACCTGAGCCAGTTGAATTTGATATCATGAGTTTTGTTTATTCCTACATTCTGCCTGACCCACTAACATCAAATACAGCACATCATTACAATCTGCCCATTGATTACTGCGACAAGATTGCCCAGGTATATTGGCACTATGCAATTCCTGAAAATCAGTTCCATGCAGTGAGTCTTTAATCTTTTTGACTATCCACCTCTTCACAAGGACAATATCTCTCTCAAGATGAAGGTCAAGCTGTTCTATTTTTTATGCAGCAGGAACAACAATGCCCTATACTCTTATTGTGGTGTCACAGTGCAGTGGAACACAATGCCTCCAAGTGATCCTTTCAAGGCTGATCAGGTGATCCAAGATATCATTAACTCGAATCCATACATTACTGTAGGTGTGAAGGCAATCATGGATGATGTCATTGGTCCCTTTGCAACACTCCTACTTGACAATTTGAAAACTGGAGGGTCAGAAGGTTGGCAATATATGAAAAACTTCAACCAGCACTTAACCCATGCTTATATGCAGTTCAAGTATATATTGAGCCCAAGCCTTGGTCTACCCAACAAGTCTCTCTTAACAGATGTTGTTGACTGGTGTGAAACTTCAATAAATCCACCAGCTAGTATGATTGTGTGCTCTCTGAGACTGTTTTAGAGGCTGTTGCTTTTGGTTGGCATCCTGGACCTAACCTGCCTCCCATGCAATGGTTTTGCATTGAATGTGTATGCACTCATAAATCAAGCTGAGATGACTGATGTCAGCACCTTTCTGATATTTTGCAGTGGCAGTGCCAATGAGATTGGGGCTTGCATGGAACAATATATTTGCAAGATTACTAACAAAGATGCTATCACCACATACAACTCCAGAATGATGGCCATTGAAGTGAAGGCAGATAACTCTAGTATGGTCCATATGAATGTCGTTACAGACAACAAGGATCATCACGAATTCTCGCATGTCATCTCTACTGTCCCCTTACCTGTTCTCCACATTATTGACCTTAGAAAAGCTGGTCCCTCCAATGCAGTTGAATGCTCTATGAACACTGAACTATGGTCCCTCCATTAAGATCGGAATGCAGTTCAGAACTGCATGATGGATGACTAGGATGGATTTATGCAGAAATCCTCCAAATATAGTTGGAGAGCAGATATGCACTGACAGGCCTTTGCACACTGTCATTTATCCTTCCTTTAGAATTTGTCCAGGCTGGGATGATGACCGCACTTATTGCCAGCTATTGCTAGACAGAGGATGCTACTAGGCTGGGTGCATTGATATGCAAAGATAACACAACACTGGGATAGCTTGTGATGAAGGAGCTGTGTCATGTCCCACAATCTAGACCCACATTCCATCATATTCCCACGCCTTCTGAGCCTATGTCTGGACCCCATTTCATATCCAACTCATTCCCAGTTCTCCCTCCACTGTCTGCCCTACACCTTAGCAGGATCAGCTCTACTGTAGAATTACCCCTGAGCTCCAGACCATCAGATCTCCACTGCTAGCCTGATCCATACCCCCCTATCCCATCCACCCTATGCACACTCCATCCAGCAAGACATCTGGACTTCACCTTGTCTCAGATTCCAGACTACATCCACCTTCTTATATCTTGGTCCTGTATCCACCTCATCTTCTGGATCCCCAGATCTCTGGATATTAACTCTGGACCTATTCCCACCCTCTGTCCAATATGCTGTGCCTATCCCCATTTAGGCATCTCTGCCTTTCCAGCTTTCAGTTACTTCTTGTTCCATCTTGCTTATTGATCCTTGTATGAGTCTTCATCTCCGAGTTCATTTAGTTATGTTCCATCTTACTTACTAATGTGTTTCCACATGCTCATACATAGCCCTGCTCCTTTGCTTACTGGTCCCCTCAGATATTCTCCAGTATATAACCCCTGTACATACTCCTGTAGTTTCCTTAGTTTGAATATCATCTTAGACTTTGCTCTACTTGCTTAATCCTCTCTCAGACTTTGATCCACCTAAGTCTGTCCTATCCATCAGGCCTAGGATTGATTCCCTAGGCCAGAGCTCTGCCTTTCTGGCACTTACCCTCTTTCTGGACTTAGGTCCAATCCCTGTCTCTCCAACTCTATCTTAGGGTAGTCTACCTCTGTTTGTTTCTATATCAGACTTCATCCAATGTAGCCCCTATTCCTTCCAGACCTCTGGGTGTCCTGTCCTTCAAATGTCCTGCCCTCCATACCTATGGACATCCTGTCCACCTGTCCACCTGTCCTCCAGGCCTTTGAACCTCCTATCCTTCTATCCTGTTTCCTGTAGAAGTATTACTTTGCAGTGGGAACTCTTCTGAGCACTTCCTGCATTCCCCCAGAACTCTCCCGTGCTTCTCTGGAAGTCCTCTAGCACTCCACCAGAGTAGCCAGCCTCTGGAAGTCCTCCAGACTTCATCAGACCATCATCAGACCATATCTGAAATGAAGGGCACATACTCAGGTAAGGGGCACAGCATACAAGCTGAGGCCAAGCCCCTCTGAGTCAGTCTCTCTCTCCACTTTGAGCAAACTGGTTCTTAACAAGCTGACAGATTCACACAACATTGATATAAACTATCTACATAACCAGCTGATTGAATGCAATGGATGGAGTTGGTCCCATGATCCATATACAATGAGTCAGCACCATGCACCCTCAAGTCTTCAATTCAATTGTTTCACTTGTATTTTGTTTTCAAGGTGCCCTTGCTTTCTTTGGACCAGGAAAGTTCAGAAATATTTACATGAGCCTCAACAATCCTGCTGTGAGGGGTTATCTTCATTTTGCTGGCAAAGCCATCAGTGTATGGCATGCTTGGGTGGAGGGTGCATTGGATAGCACTTGGAGAGCCATCCATGAAATGCTCATTTTCCCTGCTTTTGAATCCTACCGAGACAAGTTCTTCAAGAATTGGGGAGTAGATCCTGAATAGGTTGCACAGAGTGCATTGAAAACACCTACCAATCATTGTGATAACATCATCAAACAAAGGGTATATAAAGCCAACTATATGTGTGACACAAGCTAACATGAACAAGCATATAGTACATCTAGCTGCAGGAGCTGCAAAAGATGCTGGGCACCCAAGGCATTAAGATCATTGACAACCAGAGGGAGTCTGTACTGGGTCGCAAGCAACTTGCCGACCTGAACATTCTGCAGAGTTCAAGAAGATCCCAGATGACAAGAAGCTGAATTTGTTCAAAGGCCTGCTCAAAGGTCCACATATTCTCTTCTCAGTGACCTGCTATCAGATGCTAACTCTAGACAGAAATCAACAGCCTTACAAAGTGATCAAACATTTCCAAGAACATGTTCCTCAACATGTACAAGGTCCTTGCCACAGCACCAGATCCATATCCCTTGCTCAAAGCTGCTGTTATGCATCTCACACATATACTTCATTTCTCCACACATTCACATGTGCGCAGGACCAAACAGTCAAAGACACAGAGGCTCACGCACTGGAGGCTGAAGTTACTCAATTGTGTGGTGAGAACACTGGGTTTTGACAGTCATCTAGCGCTTTTAATGTGTTCAAACACCACATCAAACAGCTGGATGCGCATATGCATGAGCTTGTTATGCAGGGGTCTGAGATCAATGCTGTGTATGACGAACATATGCCTAATCACACAGAGCACTATGTGGCATGTTGTTGGTTTAGGTTGGTGTTTTGTAATTGCACAGTGCCAATGGAGGTTCAGGGAATGGGACTTGCAGTGCAAGGTTGCATTATCTAGTAGGGACCAAGTGCATGACCCCTGACCATCGAATGAATCAAATCAGGCAAACCTTTTTCATCACAGCCAGCATCAGGGTGAGCTATGCTGCATTCCTTTCTCCACTCCCTTCTGTTCACTTCATTGTTGTACCTTTTGTCTTGTACACTGACACTTCTACTCAGACCATAAGATTATTTCCCATCTTGCTAAAGCTGACATAATCATGGCTGACTTGGAACACACAAATAGCAGGGTCACAACCATTGAGCAGTGACATGTAAGTTTTGTCAGCCTCTATCCCTTGTTCACCAATTTGCTGTTTTTCTATACTATTTGTTACACATCATTTTGCATGTATGCACCCCCAGTTACCACACAGCTGTCATATACTCTATTCTATTGGGTTGGCATATGGCCACCTCCCTTCATTGCTATACACACATTTTACCTTGCTATTTTCCTTCCTGTTACCATGACTTCTTTGTATGCTTTGCCCCTTTGAAATTCAATTGACATTGGCTTCTCCCACAGGAAGCACTCTGTGGAGAGATCAAGACATTGGACACTGGCAGTGAAAGCAGCAATTTGTACTCTGTTTCCCATCTTTCATTCCACTTCTCCCTCTGCCCACTCTTTCTGAGTATTTTTGCTTGTCTATGTGCTCTCAATTCAACTGATGTGCATATATTTAAAAAGCATTGGATCTCTAACATTTTGTCTGTCAGAGCTTGAGTCTGAGTGCATGAGACTTGAAGGTGCTGTTGATGTTGCATGAAATGCTGCAGCACAATCAGAGGAGTGGATTTTAGAGAAAGTTGCTTTTGTTTTGAGCCCAGCAATACATGATTGATTGACAAGAACAATAGATATTCCACATGCTTGCAAAGCAAATGCTGCTCCCACAGAAGTAGATGCCCTGATGACAGAACTAATAACATATGGAGACTACAATGAGCTGTGAAGCAAGAACTGGAGATTCTGAAGATGCACCTTTCCCTCATGTGTCATTCTCATTGTGTCAACCCCATGATAGTATATTGAATTTGCAGGTCTTGACCTGGATGATGATTGGTCAAGTCCTGACAAAGACAAAGACAAGGACCACATGTATCTGCCAAATCCAAATGTGAACAAGGCAACTGTACAGCACATCAAGAGTCTCAAGGTGCTCCTTGCAACAAGAATAAACAGGAAGAGTTGACTCAATTTAGGGAGTATTTACTGTCAATTTTGGCCTCTATGTTATGCTTCATTCAAACTTTTTGTTCCACAGATCCTCTGCAGATCACTTGAAGCTTCCCACAAAAGCACACAGGATGACCTTGCTGACACATGTAAAACTTGCCAAGTAACAAGTCCTATGTGAGAAACTCAAGACAGATCTGTTACTGTGAACTAGGATAGGCACAACGACAGATACTCGATAAGAGTAACGTCTGCAGTTGGATCAAGACCTCACAAATGTAAGGCTTCTTAAGACAAGTCAAAGAGAGTGTCTTTGGCTCGAATATCGATATCAGACGACTTAGGATTGGAGATCCTAAGTGAAGGATGTTTCAGGTGAGAACCTAGTAGATTAAAGTGAAGATCTACTGAGTACATGACTGAGTATATATAGTAAGTGAACCACTTTAGGGCCGATGTGAGAAGATCGAGTCAGAGATAAGAATCGAGTCAGAGATAAGATGAATGAGTCATCTAGCGACGGCAATGGCGATCGTGATGTAATACAGATATTGTAAGCAGGTTTGGTCTAGTGATGGCACAATGAGGTGCGGTCATGATGTAATACACAAGGGAAGAGAGAAAATGAGACAGGGGTAGATGTGATTGTAACAGATCTGCTTGCTCTGAACACCAACAGCAGAAGCAGGCCAAGAGAGGAGGGTGGGGAGAGTAGGGAGAGTAGGATTTTGGGGCTGAAGCTCAAGTTCAGCTTATGGACCAAGGTGTGTCTACATTTGATTCTGGTGGTTGATACAATTGATATCACAGGACATAGCAGGCCCAAGCACCACATGCTCAACACCAATACCATTCACATCATCCACTGATACATTGGTCCTTCCTGTTGTGACCAGCCAGTGGGATTGTTTCCAGCAATGGAATGCAGAGCTTGAGGAAGTCAGTGCCAGGTGTCCCATTCACATTCATGTCTCTACTCCACCTCTTGTGTTATCACTCACCATGCCCCATGTTAATCCATTCCCAGGAGCTCCACAAACACTACCATGCCATCTCTGAACTCCACACCAAAGTCAGATATCTCCAATCTGAAAACCTCAAGCTTTGCAAGAAAGTCTATTGCATGCAATCATACCATGAACAAGGCTCTCAAATAACAATACAACTATTTGGGGTAAATGGAGGTCAAGCATCAAATTGAAAGCTCCTTATGCAGCTGTCCAAAAGCTAGGATGATGAGATTGGAGATGGGACCACTGGTGTTGTCAATGCAATCCTCACTTGTGACCATCTCTTTCCTCTTATCAAAATCCATTTGAAGTATGGGCTGGTGCACTTTTGGAACAGAGCAAAAATTTACTAGACCATGATATTCATCCCATCCATATAGCAGATAGCTTTGACCAGGCCTGTGCTATTGCCTGCAAGAAGCTCAATAGCATCTCAGATTGTGTTGACTTCTCACCCAAGAACAAAGAAAATCTTCCCAGGACTGCAATCACCTGTCTAGGCAGCAAAATGTGTGCCAGTCCTTTCTTTCCTTCCTTGAATATGCTTTAAATTTGGCCTAGCATGTTGAAGGAGCTGCAGCAGTTCACTTAGATCATGGTTGATGCTGTTCTAACAGTTACAGACCTTGAACATCATGATGTTCCCTTTGACCTCATCAAGGTTAACAGCAAAGTTGGTAGCTGTCTTGCTGACATGCACAACACTGATCAAGGGCATTCTCATCGACAAAGATATGTCCTATCAACAAATGCCCCTTTGTGTGCATGATGCATGCCTCATGATCCTCACCTGACCCTTTGAGCCTCCATGACCCAAGACTAAGCATAAGCTTGACATCACGTCTGTAAAGAAGTTTAAGCACCTCCGGGATTATGAAAAGGAGAAGTGTGATCAAATCATCCCCTGATTCAAGGATCTTATGGCACAAAAACTTGGGAAGGTAGGCATTGTGTTGGCATGACCTGCTCTGTGTTGAAGAGTGTGCTAACTTCCATGGTGTCACAATCTTTGTGTGTGGAAGCAATAATTAATGGTCTGCCTGCATTCACTCCCTGTTATGAACTCAGATAGAGCGTTGTTCCAATAAAGGAATCAAGATCAGGGTCAATCAAGGACTAGGCCTTATCGAGTCAATGCCTCCCTCAGGAGCGATCACTTAGACTCCTGCAGGATCTAAGGTTCAAATGGGACAATGGCTAGCCTCCTTCCCAAGGAGCTAGAGTTCGAGTATCAGGGAGAACTGAGTAGATTCAAGTTAGAGAAAATACAAGTGGTAACTAGGGTTTATATATGTAAGGGAATCGTGCACAGACCAGGCTGGGCAAAGGGTAATGACTACTGAGAAAGGAAGGTTCATGGGAAAACAATGTATGAGTCAAAGATAAGGAAGACCATGAGGAAACAGCACAGTGAAAAGGAAGTGTTAGAAATACAGCCATATAGGAGTCCACAGTGATGATGGGAACAAAGAGTGGGGCACTGTAACACTCCCAGCACACTCATCAGTTTTGATCAAGATCACAGCTGACAGAATGACTAGGCTACTAAGTACTGAGCATTGAGCTAGTAATTTAAGCAAGGTTTGAAGAATGAATGCCAAGCACCAAATCTGTTTCTACTACTAGTATGGGCCCAGGCAATGAGCCATGCACCATGCCTTGCAATTCAGAATGCCTCAAAGTCAGCTCTGAACTGCTCCTCCCTTTGTTGAATAGGATTCATATTCTGCACCAGGAAAACCTGCTACATGTCTGTCTACCTCGTCCCTGTTTGTGCACACTTGGAGTGAGTGAGTAGAATGGTAAATAAATAAGAGCTCACCAAGAATTGAAACCACCTGATATGTGCCCAATTCTGACAGCATAGTACACATGGCAGGGGTTAGAAGCCTCCATGTTCTAGATTAAATGCAGAAAGGTGCAAAAGTGAGCAAAGGTTGCTAAAGTCTAGAAGGAAAACACAGCTCACTGTAAAAGGTTGATTGGTATGAGATGATATGGTAGACTCATATCCAGAGGCAGGTCAGTAGTCACCCCATGGACAGCAGGGTTGATATGAGTAGTTAGGGTGGTAGCTGCTATGGCTGCAGCATAGGGAGGTAGAACATCTGAATCTAGATTTCTTGGACAAGATCTAGACAAGTTGGTTGGGCCTTGACAATACTGCCATAGGGGAATAGTGTGTCTATTAACAATTGGGTTTTTGTCATCTTGATAAGTCATCATTTGTTGGATAAAAATAAGTGGCAAGTAAGTTGGGTGCCAACTCAGCAGCGAACCATTTCCATGCTATAAGCACCATTTGCATCAGTGGACTGGCAAGACTCAGATATTAGAGTGCATGAGAGCATCTTTGGCCCAAATATAATGGATGTGGCACTTGATGTCTGCACTGTTGTTCCCATCTATCCATGAGGTATGTCCTGTGCAAAGGGTTAGGAGGAGGTGATATAGCCATGGGGATACAAGGTGGATAAGAGATGGGTGGTAATTTGAAAGATAAGTAGCAAGAGATGTGGGGATTGTTGCACTGGTGAGAAGAGAATTGAACGGGTAGGAAATTGATTTGGTGGTTGTGGCCTCTGAATCTGGAGTTGAGGATAGGACTGAGAAAGGAATTACCATCCCAAGCAAACCATGTGCTGCAACAATATCAGCAAGAAGAATGTGAGCAAAATTTTTGGAAGTCAGGATCTGCCTTGTGTTAGTAAACATGTGCATAGCTTGAATTAAATACACACCAAACAGGACATCTGCCTTGTCTACACCCACTGTATGTTCTGCAAGCCTATCTCAGGCCCATCAACCCAGAACTCTCATGGTGGTTCTTTATTGCCCCCATCTTCATCCTTTACATCTTTGTGATCTTTGGATTTTGGTTTCCCTATCCTCATTGCTTGCTCTCTTGCTTGCTCCTCCCAGTCCCAGCCTCTCCTATGCTCCATCTCAAGAAGTTTCATTGGTGTACCCACTAGTAGGTCTACCAGTCTTGACCCATGAGAAGATTTTGAGATGACGAACCTGGTGTCACTTGCAGCACCAGCTTCCTCAAAATTTTCTTTCATTTTTGAAGCAGTTCCACTAGACTTGGCTGTACTTGGTGTGTTTGCCTTGCTAGCGCACATGATATGCAACTTGATGGCATGGGACAAGCTCTTTGCAAGCTTGCAAGTTGGTGAGTGAGTTCATGTGTAGGTACAAGTACAAGCACACATGGATTTAAAAGCTTGCAAGATGAATGGTGGGCAACAACATTGGACTGTTCGTGCTCCATGCATTTGAGATCCTGCAGTACCAGAAGGAGGTATGCTATTGACTTTCCTGACCCTGTCTCACTAGCAAAGACCCCCTTGTACTTCTCACCTTTTGTATATTCCTTGAAAAATTACCTCATTTATGACACTTGAATAGCAGTTGGCCTTGCCCCCTTTTCTAGTGTCCCCCACAAACCCAGCAATAGCCCAGGTATTAAGGGTGAAGAAGAGAACCAAGTGGGAAGGTCTTGGCTTGGAGATGCAGCTGGTACAGGTAGATCAAATTTCTCTTCTAAGGAATTGACTTGAATGGGTGGTTGATGTGCTAAAGTCTAATGTTCTGAGTTGGGGAGGGTGAGTCACCCCAGGGCATGGCACTATCAGGTGCGCACCTATTTACCAGACTTTGCGTGCATGGTGCATCCACAGGACTGCAATAGTAATAGACTGCTCAAATGAATGTAATTTGGTGCTTATCTGGACAGAACAAGAGAGCTTCTCTAGGTAGTGTCACAGAATTGCATCACAAAACTATTGACCTACCACCTTGCACAAATAGCAAACAAGAGAAATTTTTAGTGTGGCTGCTTGAAAAGTTGTCGTCTCTGCATACAAATTGTACTGTCAGCATAGAGTTCCACATGCTGGGCCATTGAAGTTTCTCTCAGAGATTCCATTGTACTGGGAGTGAACAACCAAATCATAGGGGGCCCCTAATCATTGACCTCTTGAACATTCAAGAAGTTCAAGACTTCGAGGGTGTGTGGCTAGATCATGCATTCAATAAGACCACAGCTGATATAATAGGTAAATGAATGACACCCATGTTCTGGCACCATGCTATCCTATACGAGGGTTGGGCTCCTTATCAATGATGCGAACTGGAATGCATGAGGACAACACAGTTAGCAGATATGCTGCAGGAGGATGAGTCACCCTGCTTTGCATGGGGCAAGGTCAACCTATGATCAACAAATGGACCAGCAAAATGTGCAGTGAGCCACCACTGTAGCTTTCAGATAAGGAGCTTTGGGATGGTAGAGTCCCCATCAGCATATGAGTCCCCTAGTGTGAGGTAAGTAAGTCCCTTTGGCACCCACAGAAAGGGTGCTCACCACAGCAGAATGATCTGGTGGTGAAATTAATCCCAAGTGAGATCCAGTGCTTCTGTTCATTGAGAAAGACAGGGGCATAAAGGATCTTCAGAATCTCCAGAATTTTCTCAAGCTCCTGCAGCATGCGACTCACCCTCCCTTTGAAGTGTGAGGCATTCTTTACCTTATTGATCTCCAACATGAAGGTCATATTGACAATGAGGGCATTGGAGCTTACAGGGCTTGCCTTGCAGATACGAGAGGCCATGCAGGCTGACATTGAGTCCATTAAAGTGTCCAACATCCAACAGCTACTGGATAGGAAGCCTACGAGTACTGTGGTAGTTATTGATCTGGATGCAGCTGTGCCAAGTAGCAGTCTGTCCCAGGGGAGAAGGGTCAGGTGTCTGTGTGCCCTAAGGAATATCACTGTATCTGGGCTGCCTTCTTCTATTCAGTTTTGTAACCAGTTGTTCCCCTCTACCCAAACAGGTTTAATCCTATGCACACTGTACAATTCCTTCCACAGTGTGATGACCCAGAGAGGTAATGGGTGGGATGCATAGTGCGAATTCCATATCAAACACTTCCCATCCAAAGGAGCTTGTCCAACAGCCCTGTATGCATCATCAACAAACTGCTTGGGGGAAGATCTTGCAACATCAACATTGTCAGGTTATATTGGGCAGGTGTAGTTTGAAAACATGATTCAGCCTTCTCCTCAATGTCTTTCAACAAGACACTTTGCAGCTGAAACTCAAGGAAATGGGAGACTGGAAGGTTTGGATCAGGAAGCACAGCTGTGCATATCTTGTTTGGAATGGCCATAGTTGCATCATAAAGCGACTCTAGGTCATCTGGAATGTCTACTGTAGTAGCTGGGAACATTCTCCCTTTACCAATCCATGTGGCAGCTGCTGGATGCATGACTATGCCAGGACAGAAATCATTGTCTTCAGAGATGGCACTATCAGTATCTATGTGATCACCAGAGTCACTATCTGAGGATAGAGTAATTGCACTAGGTGATTTGTGGAGCTGCTGGAAGCTACTTTCATTATAATGTTTGTCCATGGAACCAGTTGCACCTGAGGTGTAGGGTTAGACAAAATGGTAGCAAAGCACTTGGAGCAGAAAATGTTTAGATGATGAAAGAGTTATGTTTGAGTTACAAATATAAGACCCAGTACAAGGAAGGTAGG